TCTAGTCCAACTCTGATTCTAGGAGCTTTCTGATCACAATAATTTTATTTTTTTAATATATATTTTATTGATTTTTTTTAACAGAGAGAAAGGGAGAGAGATAGAGAGTTAGAAACATCAATGAGAGAGAAACATCAATCAGCAGCCTCCTGGGGATGTGCCCGCAACCAAGGTACGGACCCTTGACCGAAATCAAACCTGGGACCTTTCAGTCTGAAGGCTGATGCTCTGTCCCACCGAGCCAAACCAGTTTTGGCTGATCACAATAATTTTAAAAGGAAACTAACACATACCTAGAATTTGAGTCAACCGTAGTAATGAGCGTTTCCTGAAACACAAGAGAAAAAGTAAAATAAGTTAAGGGGAACAACGGACTGAAAAACCTGTTTTATAATAAGATCGCATTCATCTACTGCATTCTTCAAAAAGATATTGAAAGGGGAAATTACATCATTTCACTAAAATGCCTAATTTCAACATTTTTTTTCTAAAGAATTTTAAGAATGATCTAAATTTAAATTACTTATTATAACATAACCTAGAGAATTTGAAAGAAAATGTTAAAAACTAAGGCTACAAAAAGATCCTGTACACAACAGATATCTGAATAGTTTAACATAAAAAAGGACAACAGCTATGATTACACACACACAACCCCATTATTACCTTTAGGAAGAAAGTTTAATTCTTCAAAATCATGAATGAAATGTTCAATAAATACATTTCTTTTATTCAAATCTTATATGAAGTAAAAGTGTCCCAAAATTATATTAAAAGGACGTGTCAACCAAAAAGAAAAGAAAAAATTAAAAACCATTTAAATTGTAATACACTGGGCAACCTTTCTTTAGCTCTGACAAGACAATTCTAGAAAGATTGTGGAGGCCTTGGGGACTGACCTCAAACTGTCACCCCAGAACCTTCAGAACAGGACGCCCTGTGTGCTGGTAGACAGGTTCCAGCCAGTCTAACTCCCAGCAGCTTCCGAGAGTTCTTGTCAGGGAAAGTGCACTGAGATGGCTCTGGAAAATGCACACTTCCCCAAACAGCTGAATGACTAAGGCCTTGTGACTCAGAAACTTTTCCAGGCTTGCAAATGTGTTTAAAAGCATTCTTTTGAAATCCACACCAGCAAAAGCATTAGAACCGCAGAGGAAGGGAGCCATAAATAAGGCGGCAGCAGCATTTCATCTCTGCAGGGTCTCAAAGCGCAGAACAAAAAACCGTTAGCAACGCAAGCAGCGGTGTGAGGTCTGCATTGAGGCGAAGCTCCACACAGCAGGCGCGTTGAAGCTGCCGCCGAAGGGCGGACACCTGTTAGGGATGAGCAAGCAAAGCAGTTCAGAGACCCACCAACCTGGGAACATGGCCGTTAAGATTCCTGACACGGGAAGGGGAGAGGGAGGAATAAATCATTAAAAAAAGAAAACTTTACATTTTTTTTTTATCTTTTTGAGCATTGTTCAATCCTGGAGACTACAACGAATATTCACAAACTACTGCAAGGTGATTTTTCAAATTTTATATATCATAAAGTTAACAAAGATTCTTAGAAGTGGAATATGCAAAAATATTAGTTGGCTATTAGAAGACATAATCAACTCTGAAACACAACAGTTCATTGAAGGCAAAAATATTATTGTCACACCAGGAAGTTAGGCCTGAAATAGTAAACAGCAGGCAAACACGCATCCATTACTTTGTTACACGGAGCACATGCACATGCACTTGACCAAACATGCTGGCAACTCTGTGGACACAGCTGGCCTGGCCTCCCTCCGCCCACTCGGCCTGAGCACTGATACTCAAACACCACTGGAACTTCCTTACCACCAGCAGCAACAGTGAAATTGTACAGAGCTGACCTTTAAGAGATCATATGTGATTTTTGATTGGTTGTGAACTGTTAGGCTCTTACCCCCAGGATGCTTGAGAATAAAGCAAGTTTGAATTACCAATTAGCCCATTGATGAAAAAGGAAACGGTCTTTCCTGCCCAATGCTCTCAAGGGGCTAAGCTGGGCTTTGGTATGTAACTAACCAATAAGTCAACCACAAACAGGGAGAAAAGACCATGGTTTTTGTTACAGGCTCTGCCACCTGTTCACTCTGTGACCTTGAGGGATTCAATGTCAAGCAAGTTAACAAGCTACCTCCCAGCAACTTCTAAACACAGTACATAATAAGCTCTATATAAAGATATGCAAAGGCCATCAAGCTTTTGCAAATCAAAGTCATCTAATTTATAGGTTCTAACTTAGGCCATTCCTTAATTGGAACTCTTTCCTAAAAATACTATTGTCAGACTAATGGTTTTCATGCAAAGTCGAGAGCCTACATAAGCTTTAAAAGTCTGCAACTGTCAAACCTAAAATGGGTGCTGGCCCTGGTGCTGCAGTGCGACCTTGAGCAAGATCAAACTTGGGACAAGGTCCGAGTGTCACCTTCCCTGCATCCTGAATCTTCATCTTCTCAGGGGTGTCTGAGAACCAAATAAAATCATACATACAGCAATACTTTGAAAACTACAACCAAGAAAAGGCACTGCAACTCATATCCTCCATGTAAGCAAATTGGATACAGTTTTATTCATTTAAAATGCATCATTTCTAGTCTGCAAAGACCTTATTTTTGGCAATTTAACATTATACTTTCCTTTGGGCAGAATCAAGCCAATAATCTTTGGTTCATCTTATTTTACAACTCAACTAGATATGTTCAGCAGGCAACATTTCAAAAATTCAGACCACAGAATACATTTATCAGTCTGGAGGTATTGTAGATGGATGGTTATACAGAGACTCACAAAAAAAGAACCATCTGAGGACACTCTCTTCTTCTAGCAAACCAGACCACATGAAAGGGAAGTCTGGAACAGTGGTCCCATATTTCCTCTCACTAAATTTGCTTTCGGCCTCTAAGAAAAAGAGCCCGTTCTTGTACCATAGTCCTCTTGTTCTGTTCTAATGTAAGCAAGGCCACGTCTGTTCTAAAAGCAGACAGGAGAAAAGAGTCTGTCTTTCAAAAGTAAAGCAGTGACAATGGGAGACCTTAGTCCTAATTGGTGCTATCTGCTCGTAGGCATTCTGGTCCAGGAAATGTTTGGACCTGCATTAGATCTAAGCTCACATACTGAGCCTTAGCAAATCCTTGTTTGATTATAGCCAAATAATTCACACCAAGATTACTCAACACAAAGCACCTAACAGGATAAATTACTATACTTTTTCCCTGACAAGCTTTGGAAAAAAAGCAAAAACTTCATAAGGTGCTAAAGCCATATTAACCAACAGCAAGGATTCTAAGCAATTGTTACAGAAGCTAGTCAAAGTCTGAAGTCCATTTTTTATCTTCCCAAAGATAAAAACATTGAACTTAAGCCTTCCTTGAATAGGGAAAGGAGAGAATATAAATGAAAACTGGTATCACACAGACTTTCACTGTATTATCTGGGGTACCAAGGTAAATGTGGCCCTCTATGCTCTGCTGGATTAACCGCTTGATTCTCTTGTGGATTAAATTTAGACAATGTCTTGTCAGTAGCAGCTGGTAAATGAGTTCACCAGATCCTAACACGAGCCCTGTGCAGTCTTGCTGTTGTGCTCTCTCTAATAAAACCAAGAACATGAACCAAAAAAGTGTACTTTCTGTCATTTGTTTCAAGCAAACTTCCCCCAGAGTCCTTTAGTTACAGGCCCAGGACTATTTTTCCCACTTGTTCTTTCAGGGGCTTTGGCGGTTGTCACAATTCTGACTCTGGATTTATCTTCATGTACAAGTGAGATGACCACCTCAGAGAGAAGGGCTATAGAGCCTGGACAAAATTAGTATCACTAGAATTATTTTCATTTCCTAAGGAAAAAATGCACCAAAAGTTATCATTTTCATTTAAATGATATTGAATTTATCATCTACTATGCCCCAGAGATGTGGAGATGAAGACCTGGGAAGTGTCCTCAAAGGTTTAAGCATTAAGACCTCAGCTCAATCAGATTTTAAGTTCTCTGAAAATAAGGCTGAGTCAAATCTTTCACTCCAAAGGCACAGTGTGAGTTATCAAAAGGAGCTAGCTCATCCAAAGGTATCCACTGATAATCATGATGGGAAAATTCTCTTGGGTATTGAGAGTTTATGATGAGAATACACGCCTCTCCTAATGAAACATAATGACTGGTCTATACAAATACAAAAGTCTGTTGAGCCAACCCAACAGATTATTCATTTAACCTAGAAACACGCCTGTGCTGGCCTCAGTCAGGTCAGTAAGAGACCTTTGCCCTCCAGTTTTCAGGGATGAGACACAGTGGCAATAACTATGGCCACCGAGATATCAAGATGGTAACACTTACCGGGGGCTTGGTTATCTTTGGTCGGTCATCCTGCAATAAAACACAAGACACATTACAGAATGGAAACGAACTACAAATGTGCCATTTCCAAAGTGCTCATTTTACTTCGATTTCTAAAAAAATGTTACTGTTCAGTAATTACCCTTTCAGGTTCATCTATCTAGGCTGCTAAACATTAAGTTTGATCCCTGTCCCTAGGGCATGGCCTCAGGGTTAGAGGATTCTGAGTCTAAATGTCAATGGAAAACACAACCAGGGAAATGCAAAGAAACTTCTAGGCAATTTGTTTCTGACAAAAATGGTGTTGTAAAATCAGGAGGAATTGTTCTACTTTACTCCTTTTTAAATCTGCAAGTCTGGGGGGGGCCATGGTTAGATATGTACACATATAATACCTTAATTTAAAAACATGAAATAAATAAATAAATACATCTGCAAGTCTACAGATTTGGGTAATGTCAACCATAGCCTTAAGGAGAAAGAAGTAAAGGCCCTCAAAAAGCACATACTGGATGCAGCTCCCCGATGATGTACGTTTTGGATAATTCTCTAGCATCTGTCGAGTGCCCAACATCCTCAAAGTTCTCAGTAGCATCGCCTCCGGCTTGTTCCCGTAAGACTTCTTCCCCACCAGGATGCTGTTCAAAAGAAAGACATAAAAATAAGTAAATATTTTTCCAAGCAAATGAGATCAAGGAAATGGCCAGTTTATTTGGTTAAATAAATAGGTTATTCCAGAAGTCACAGATGACAACACGTGAGTATAACTCATCCATAATGTGGATGAAAACAATATACTCCTTTGTATTTAAATGCATTGTTGAAAGTATGGTAGAACCCTTCTCCAATGGTGTTCATTTCTCCAGGTTATTCAAATGGCAATAACAGCATTAGGCAGATATTTTCAATCCTTTGGCAAATGTCCTCTTTTCCCTAAAGCTCTCAAAATTGCTCTTCTCAGTCTTTAATCTATTTTTCTTGAGTCCCGTCTCTTTGACCTTGTAGGTCTAAGTGTGAACCTACACCATTACCTTAGATGTAATTCATCTCTGAAAAGTACACTATATACCTGCCAAGTACAGAGAGGGGACAGCATGATGGGCAGGTAAGTGAGTCCACTGCCTCTTGCAGAACTTACCTTTTGGTCAAAAGGAAAAGTGAAGCAAGCAGGTATCACAGTGACTTGCTCAAGATGCTGCCATAGGGACATGTCACTGATAGGAAGCAGAAGCAAAGAGGAAGGAGTTCACACAGGGAAGGGTTGGAAAGAGCCAGTTGTGTAATCAAAGCATTTCAGTGCTCTTAGCTGCTTTAATTGGTAAGACCCAAGGATGGTCATGATGCAGGAAGGGGAGACTGACACATGGGCCCAGTCATGGATATGGGTGAAGGCAAGGGAAGGAGTTCTCAGCCAAATAAAAAGAAAGTACTTGGTTATATCATCCTAAATACTTTTTCAGGGGTAAAAACTTTCTTAAATTGAGTTTCATTATTTCCTCAGATCAAATTCACCTGCCCTTGAGCTAAGTATCCAATAGCCAAAGAAAACAATTCTCTCTTGCACAACTGACTGCAGTCCTGTTTTAATTCCTCCCAATAATGGAAGACGTAAATGCAAATAACACTTTAGAAATGTTGACAATTATTCTGTTTTGAAACCTGTTTCTCTCCCTTTTGTATTATATAAACATATCTAGTGCTAAACAAATTTACTTTTTTCCCCTCTACTATTTATAAAAGTTATCCATCTACATTATAGAAAAATCGTAAAGCACAAAAAGAAAATAAAAATCACCTAAATCACCCATAATCTTGCCATCCAGAGAAATATATATGCATATGTGTGAATAGTTTAAAAAAGAAAATGGTGATTGTGACCTTATGCACACAGCTTTGTTAGACAAAAAACAGATGATGATACATGATACAGAGACAATATGCCTAGTGATTACTCCCCCTATGTGAACTTGGGAAAATAATGTGCCATTTGCATTATTATGTACTTAACACACACCACACATTGCCATGTACTACAGAACAAATATGCCAGGCTTCACCTTGAGCCCATGTCAGGGCTCCTGACAATCGCTTAGAAGAAACAATCGCTTAGAAGAAACTCTCCAGGATTACAACTCAAGTGAAAACCAGTGCTCTAAGAAGCATGTCAAACTCAAAGGTTAACATAGGCCAAATAAATGAGGCTGTGGCCCACAAGCCACAAGTTTGACATACTTGGTGTACAGCCACCAAGAGGCTGAGTGAGGGGCAGGACCATGTGTCTGAACTTCCCAGAGAGGAGGGAGCAGGTGAGTCCAGGACCAAAGGAGAAAGGGCAGGTGGAGAGTGCAGGGCGGGCACACACAGCTCAGGCCTCTTCAGAAATTCTCATCTTTATCCTTCAGGCAACGAGAAGTCATTGAGAAGCTCTAAGAAGGGGAGGTGACAAAATCAGGTGTCATTTAAAAACTAAAACCCTGTCTTCAGCGTGGACAGCAGCTATCAGAGCAGGAGAGGATTTGGGAGGCTGCAGTGAGCTTACCTAGAGGTGGGTGGCAGAGGGTGATGAGAGCCTCAGGCAGGCTGGAGGCAGTGGGAGGTGAGGAGGTGGATGGTGAGGGACAGACAGGAAGCACCACAACACCCCTTGTCAAGTTTGTCAACTGACTTATCCAAGAAGGAGTGGCCAACATCAAAGCTGAAGCTGGCCAAGGACCAGATGACTCTTCTGTGTGGCAGGTCTCAGGATCGAGTCTCACCAGTATTATGATTTTGCCAACCATGGGGTGTTAAAGGGTCAGAAGAAGAAGTTCTTGTCTGCATAATGACAGTGCAATAAAGCCTTTCGTGATGCAGTTGGTTTCAGTTTATTTATTTATATTAATTTAACATAAATTAATAATTTCATGGTTTTAGTCCTTTTACAATCACTAAAGTTCTGAAGTAGTCTCTTAAAATCTTTTTCAGTTACACTTTACGTAATGTGAGATATATAGTTGTTACTGTGCTTGTGAATTTAAGAATGTATAGAAGTTACGTGTCTGCCAGACACATACAAAAATGAGAAAAATGCAAATAAGGCAGAAAACAAAAAGTAGTAAATGAGTATTAATAAAGCCAAGAAAAGGATAGGTCCTTCCAGTGGGAGGACAGGCAACAAAGGAAGGCCTGAGCACTTCACTGTAGTCTCAATATGCCCAATGCCTGACAGATGGGAGGGCAGGTCACCCCTTCCCTCTCGATTGGTCATTCCAATTAATGGCACTTGCTGAGCCTGTGCGGGGCTCAATGATCTAAAAGGTGTATCCCCTGTTTTCTAAAAACAAAAACACACACAAAACTAAGAAGCCAAAAAGGAAGAACATATTATAAACTTGGTAAATTTTTTTCACTGGGCACCAAATACCTATAATGATGAAGCAATACTGACAGTCCTTTGGACAATGCTAATGAACAGAACAAGCTCAGCTTCTCCTTTCATATTTAATTAGCAGCGCCAAAGTATTTCCAGGTAAACACTGTTGAGTTACCTGCTGTGCAAAGTCCACTTATTTAAAACTAATGGCCAACATGTCCCTCTTCACCTGTGAAGTGAACAGAGCCATGATCCCATCTACCCTTCCTCTTTCAAAATATATTGCAGTGGTAAGAATTTGCTTTAATAGGATAAATATTGAGTGCAGGTGGTGCTCTCCCGCTTCCTGCGGGAGAGAGAACAAGGTTATCTGTGTTGGCCCCACACTCACAGCCTCGCCTCAGAGACCATATGATAAGCTTTATTCATAACCAAAGTTCCAAGAATCTCACTGAGAAGATGGTGCCCTACATTTAACACTACGGAACTCAATGGTTTATACCCTAAAAGTCATTACAAAAAAAACATGAACCAAACCCAATGGACAATCCTCCCATGTCCTATTTTTTAAAAAAATATGTTTTGATTTTTTAAAGAGAGGAAGAGAGAGGGATAGAGAGTTAGAAACATCGATGAGAGAGAATCATCGATCAGCTGCCTCTTGCACACCCCCTACTGGGGATGTGCCCGCAACCAAGGTACATGCCCTTGACCGGAATCAAACCTGGTACCTTTCAGTCCGCAGGCTGACGCTCTATCCACTGAGCCAGACCTATTGAGGTCACACCTGAACTGTTCAAGTGAGGAAGGCCAGACCCCAAAGGGCTGTTGCCAGCTCCCCATCTCCTAACCTACTTCGGTATAACTAATAGAGAGAGAAATAACACATGCAACATGCAACATTTTTCAAATAAAAATAAGAGTCCAATTTTTCATGTACAGAAAAAAAAAGAAAAAAAAAGACTATCAGACTAAAATAGCAGCAGATGCTTCACCAGAGCAAACCAGCACAATCAGATCAGGTTCAGATACAGAGAAAGCACAATTGATGGATCATGGTCTTAGGTTACATTACTTCTGTATGAAGAGGCAAAGATTTATAGAGTCAACACACTGTGAGTGGTGCCTCAAATCCTGTTTCGAATGAGGCCAAAAAATAAATAAGTAAAGTAATAACTGCATTGCTAGAGATTCACCATATCCAAGATTTATTAAATTGCAAGAAAATTCTATTTCATATTTAAAGGTATACACTAAAAATGATCTATGAAAACTGGCAAGATAAAATAAACTTAGATACTACTCCTGAGCAGATGATTTCAACAAATTCTTGATATATAGGCAATAATCTTAAGGAGACAGAAAATGTGAATAAAATCAGTCATTCCACACTCAAATACACAGTCTGCAACTACATTAATTCAGAAACTAATTACTGAGTGAAAACACTTTCCTGGTCCACTCTTCATATCCCGACTGTTTTTTTCTACAGCCATTTTACAGTTCCTTAGATTCGCTACTCAAAATATAAAGATGAGTTTAAATTATAATTTTGCTATCACCTTTGCTAGTCATGTTCCCCTTTAATACAAAAGAGGTAAGCAAAGTTTACCACCCTAAAATATGCCTTTTTGGGATATTGATCATTTTACACTGGTTAATTGTAAGCAACAGATGTGGGAGAAGCTCTGAAAAGCAAGTAGAAGTTACAGCTATGAAACAATTTTTACACTTTTAAGGGAAGCCTCCATCTGTAAGGGTGTCTCCCTCACAGTACACCAGGCCTGCTGTTCACAGTCAGTGCAGAAGGCAGGTCTTACATCTACATAATAATCTTACTCTTGTCTATTGTGCTCTTCCTTGTCATTTCCCATAACTGACTCTCCACCTCCAACACCTTCTCTATCTTCAGCTGAAAGTGGTATTTAAGGTGCTGGCTTCCATCATTTTGACGAGTTATTGCTCCAGGGGTCTCTTATCATAATTAAGCTTGAATCTGCCTTCTTTCTGCTAATGTCTCATGTGAATTTGATTATTAGAGCAGTCAGAAGGACCTTGAAGTGGAAGAAAGTTAGTTTTCTGCCCCAACAGTGAGGTAATCTTAGGTTTGATACAGAATACTATTTTTACTTACTCTTTGATCTTAATTCCTAGAATCTCGAATTTTAGTGTCTTTGAAAAAAAAACAACAAGTGTTAAAATTTCAAAGCCAAGGGTTGGAAGATCTTGTTTATATAGTAAGAAAGCCTTGGTGCTTATAAATAGAGCCGAGGGTGGGGGAGGAGGGCACTACCCCTCAAGTTCACAGCTCCAGCCATGGATGAGACAGGTCTTCCTTTCTTCAACCCTCACAGTTTTTAACCACCTTCTACATGTGCTAGAATATTCGTCCTCAAATACCATTCTGACCACTTCATGTGCCTACTCAAAAATTTACAGTGGTGGATTTCTGCAGGCAAACAGAAGTTCTCCTGAATTTCTCACAAAGAGCTTCAACATCTGCATAGCCCAGGGGGTACCCAGGTGCAAAACCACATCAGCGGGGGCAAGGCTGCTCTTTGCTCCGTCTGCTTCTCCCTCCCCAAACAGTTAAACTTATAGCTGAGAAATAGCTACTTACTACTAGAATAGAGATTTTTTTCCCCCAGACTCCCTTGCAGTTGGGTATGCCATGTGATTAAATCCTAGCTAATGGAACATAGGTATAAGAGTCTGGAGAACCTTCTAGAAGACTTCCCTTCTAGAGTGGTGTGCCCCCTTTATCATTTCTCTTCACCCCTTTTTTTCATTCTGCTGTCTGGAATGCAGAGGCTGCCTCTGATCTTGGGATGAGAGCCAGACCCCAGAAATGGTCGGGAAGTGGGCTAGAAGTGTGGCCCTGAGGACTTGATGTTGCACAGCTGGCACATGACACCTGGAAAGCTTGTTCCTCACGACAGGTGAACAAACTTCTATCTTGTTTAAGCACAGTTGTTTGTGGTTCTTCAGAGCTTAAATCTAATCCATCATTTGTCAAATACCATGTGCCAAACACTAAAGTCCTGAAGCACCTAAAAGATGCAAATAAACATATTCCCAAGTGTTGAGAAACTTGAAAAAACAAATTAGGACAATGATCTTCACATACATTAAGCAACTGGAGAAATATTTTTTTAATTTTATTAAATTATTATCTTTGTATATATACCATTGCCCCCCCTCCCATACATGCCCTCCCTCCCCAGAGTTTTGTGTCCATTGGTTGTACTTATATGCATGTATATAAGTCCTTCGGTTGATCTCTTATCTCCCCCAGATCTCCCTAATCTCCCCGCTGTAATTTGACAGTCTGCTTGTTGCTTTACTGTCACTATATCTATCTTAACTGGAGAAATATTAAGGGGCCTATCTTAACATATCCAATATTTAATAATTGGGTTATCTTCATAGATATCTTTAAAAATAGTCTGGGCCCCTTTAGGTTAGAAATTGGACGAACAGAATAGATACAGATGAGAAATCTCAAGAGGAACCTGAGCAGGGATGAGGCTGAAGGGCTGAAATGTGCTCATGAGCTAGGTGAGTGAAGAGGAACATCTGAATAAAGAAAAATCGTGAAGCTGTGCCAGGGCTCTTTTTGTGAGCCAGCTTGACTGTCCAGGGGATGCTCAAAGTTATTTCCGGGTGTGTGGGGGAGGTTATTTCTGGGTGAGATTAGCATTTGCATCGGAGGACTTAGTAAACAAAGTGACCTCCCCTTTAGGTGGGCTTGCTCAAATCCAGGAGAGCTTGAATAGAACAAAAGGCAAGGTGGAGAAAGGGAGAATCTGTCCCTCTTTTCCTGCCTTGTTGATAGGGCTGGGATATGTCATCTCACCTTCTTCTGCCCTTGAACTGGGATTTGTCCCATTGGATCCCCTGGCTCTCAGCCTGGAGACTTGAACGGAGTGGCTCTCCAGAGTCTCCAGCTTGCAGATAGCACTACTTGGGACTTCTTGACCTTCCTCATAATAAATCCCTTACACTCTCTGGATCGTGTGTGTGTCCTGTCTTCTGTTTCTCTGGAGGACCCTGACTAACACAGCTGGATGATTAGAATGAACCAAATGAGGAAGGGCTGTGAGAGTCCGTGGGAAAGGGCGGACAATAAGGAGTTCAGAACAGCAGTGTGACTCAACAAACATCACAGGATCGCTGCTGGAACAGACTCCAAGTGCAGACAGACATCTGACCAGTGGGGGCAGCACAGGGCCTCTGCATCCCCACCCCCTCCGCCTTCAGGAAAGTTCAACAGCCTCCACCTCCTCTGTGGGAGGGCACAAAAGCATGACACTCAGCTGGAGATCTCGCTCAAAGGGGCAGGCCTGAGGCAGGCGAAGGCTAAAATCCCAGAGGTTCAGAGTTTAAAAGAACCTCAAGACTCAACATTCTTAAACTCACAGATGGAGAAAGAGGGACCCAGAGAAAATAACCCCAGAGTCAAGCTGACAGTTCATGAAGGAAACAGGCCCAGAACCCAGTTTCTGGCCTCGTTCAGCCTCCCCCCCCCCCCCCTTCTTTTTGGAACATGCGTACTAAATGACCATTTTTATGCTTCTGAACAAAGTGACTTTAGATAGGATGCCTTAGAAATAAAGTTTCTTCATACATTTCCCTTTTGGAAATTTAGAGGGAAATCTGTCTCACTTCTTACAGACCCCAAGAAACTTTGTGCTGCCTTCCTGAGCCTTATCACTAAGATTCAAAGGTGTCTTTCTTCTCCTCCCCTCCCCTCTCCTCTCCCCTAATGCAGATGACTACCAGGTTATCTCTGAAAAATGCAGAAGGGTGTGCTGAAGTCCACTCGGTGTCATCATGTAATTTAAGTCCATCCTTCCACTCCCAGAGCTTGCTTAAACTAAGCAAAAACAAACCTTTCCAATTAGCTGTACTGTTTTATATATAAAACCAATAAAAAAAAAAAAAAAAAAAAAAAAAAAAAAACCTTTCCACTTAGTTGTACTGTTATATAGCCTAAAGTCCACCAACTCTGGAGTACCTTTCAATCCAAACACTTAGCCCTGCCAAAACAGGTGCGGTAAACAATGACTAGGCAGAACAATGTGTGCGCAGAGATTATCTGCAATAATGAAGCCAAAGATGAGAACAACTCAAAGGAGTGTGGAAAGTGAACGATTTAAAAAGATTAGGAACAAAATAAGTAGCCTAACCGAATGTTTTCTATCATTTCCAGATGCTGTTTTTCCAAGGAGGCAAAGAATGAAGGCCTCGAAGCTGGCTGGGTTCTCCAGACTTTTGCTCGTGGCTCCCACATGGACTCTGTCCATAGAGGGGCACCTCTGCATGGCGCTGCCTGGGGCTGTGCATGCCCCTCGAACTGAATCATCAAAGCTCAGGACCAAGCTGGGGATATCAGCACCCTGTCTCACTTCACAGTAGGTGAAGGGATCCACTCGCCCTGGAGCAGGAGGCTGAGAGGGGGTCAGGGAGAGGCTCAGGTGGGAAAGATTCAGTTGTTCACTAGGTGAGCAGGTGAGGACATTTTAACAAAGGAAAGGACATTGCAAAGACCCAGAAGCAGTAACACAGTGGCACCCTGGAAAACTGCAGGTGCTGTGCATAACCCACTTCACAGGGAAAAATGCATGATGAAGACCATTTGGAACTTGAAGCAAACACATTGAGTGTGGAGGGTCTGAGGGAGGAGCTCGGCTTAAGAAGTTCTCATACCCCACCAATCACAGGAACCCTACAGGCAGAACAATGTTTACAGTGAAGCTCTGGGGTCCTAACCTCCCCTCCCTTAACCTCCTTCTCCCGCCTGGCACGCAGGCCAGATGTGTGCTCTGGGTTGCAACCCTTTCTTTTTCCCAAATAAACCCTTTTTGATGACAAAATACCTAGTCAGTATTATTTTTCAGTGGACAACAATTTGTTTGTTTCATTTGTTGTTATTGGATTAGGGAGAGGTAATTAGAAAGGAGAATAAAGTACATATCACCTCCCAACTACTTTATAAATCACACTTTCACATCACTTATCTAAAGCTACATGAAACCCCTACTTAGTCACATATTGGCCCAACCTCATGGCAAGCATTTTCCCCTTTGTGACACCTGCCTGACCCCTCATGGGCTCCCACCTTCCTACACTCCCCGGATCCCATGTCTTGCTCTAGGAGGAGTGATGGGTTGTTCTCCGGTAGGCATTGCTTCTGTGTCCAGCCGGCCCCATGCTATGGAAAAAGCGCAGGCTGGAAGGGATTGGACCAGGAACTCAAGGTGCAGCTCTGCCATGTCTTCAAAGATTGACCCAGGAAGTTACTGATCCTTCTAAGTGTCCATTTCCCCAGCATCTAGAACTCTCTCCTCCTAAACTGCACAGAAGGGTAGGTGATATAATTAGTAGGATGCCTAGTCTATAATAGCCATTTGAGTAATATAGAGTTCCCTTTCTTCCCCACCCCTGCCTGATACTGACACAAAGAACCTGCACAGACCTGATACAGTTCCTGACCCGAAATGCTGAAGGCTACATCCAGCAACATCCTCTTCGTCCCACCCCCACCCACCTTCATCTCCAAGTGCTTTTCTGTGGATTAAATCAACTGGCCTGATTCTACTGAGGCACAGAACCAAAGGAAGAGAGTCCACAGAAATAGGTATCATAAGGACAATGACATTTTCTACAGGGGGTCATCTTTAGAGGCCACTAGGATGAGGACAGAGAGATAATGCAGCTGTGAGCTGGAGATCTGGCAGTTCTGCAGAATACTATTACAATTCTCCTTGAAAAAGAGAAGCAAAATTCTTGGTTATTTTTAGAAAAGGTCACGTCATAATAACATAAGCATGTGCCAGTTGTGTAGGAAACAGGGAGGAAAAAGGAAATAAGATGGTAACAGAGGACAGGTTGCTTTGTGTTCCTCCACCAGACTGTCCCCTCCCAGCTGAAGAGATGTTTACTGAGCAGCTACTATGTGCCAGGACACAGGGCAGTGAGGAGGAAGTTTGAGGCTGCTGTCTGGTGGAGAATGGCAGCCAGCAAACAAGAAACATGCAAACATCGCCTAAAGTGCTAGAAGAGAAGTGAAATAGGACGATGATGTAACAGAAAATTCCCCTTTCTGGGAAGCGACACTAAGCTGTAGCCTGAAGGAGGGGTGACCAAGGGAATATACAGCAGGCAGAGGGAAGGATCTAAGTAGAGAAATGATAAACTGTTTCCACAAGATAAAGCTGTTTTGATTTTCTTCCAGAAATTACATTCTTTAATGTCATAATAACATGTCACTCAACATGAAAACTTGAGCAACCATCAGCATGATGGAAGCGGTGGGATCATGAAGGCTCTGTCAGGACACATGCTCTGACATGGGAGAGAAGTCCTTGACATGTATGGCAGGGACTCGAAGATAGAGGGCATGGTGAGGAAGCTCAGAGGACAGACTTTCTCTGCAGGGCTTGGGGGCAATACTGAAATAGAATGGGGCAGGAGAGAGAGAGAGAGAGAGAGAGAGAGAGAGAGAGAGAGAGAGAGAGAGGGAGAGACCGACCCCCACAGAGGACAAGGACCCACAATACAGTGAAGAGGTGGGCAGGGGCAGGCCAGCACTAGCTGAGCCCACAGACGGACGGACTTCATCAGAAGAGCAGGGGCCTCATCAGACCTCCACTCAGAGCAGCCTGTGCCATGTAACAGGCTCCTGAAAGCATGGGCCCTCCTCACACACGCCCAGCACACATGCAAACAAGCTCTCTCTGAAATAGCACAACACTGACTCCCAGCACCACCCAGATGCCCTGTGTTAGGAACGGAACGGAGGCCTTGAAGACCTCCAGGTCTTTCTTTCCTTCTAGACCCCCCTGTGAAGAGCGGCGGTGGCTATTTCCTTCACCTTTTAGAAGGAAACCCGGGAAATGACAGCAGATGGGAAGAAAGGCACTGTTAGCCCTCTTTACCTTCTAAGGGTTCTCTTCAAGTTCACATCTTTCTATTCACAGCTTCCCTTTGCTTTCTTTCTGGTTCCTACAGACAACTCTGGGTACGGGGAGAAAAATCTTAAAGCAAATGATGGCATCTATGTACAGGTAGGGTGGCTTTTTCTTTTACAGTTTTGCTAGTAATCTCAAAAACGCCTGCGGTCTCACGCCTGTGTCACAGAGTCAGCAGAGGAACTCGGACTGGGGAGTCCCACGACCTGGATTGAAAACCTGGCTTTCAATCCTCACCTGCTGTGTCATTTGAGCAATTAATGGAGACTCCTAAACCATGTTTTTCTTACCTAAAAAAGGCACCAGCACCACCACTACCCACCCAAGAGACTTATTTTCAGAATTAACAGTACAAATGCAAAGGGGGTTTTATGCATTTTATTTTATTAAATATATTTTATTGATTTTTCACAGAGAGGAAGAGAGAGGGATAGAGAGTTAGAAACATCGATCAGAGAGAATCATCGATCAGCTGCCTCTTGCACACCCCCTACTGGGGATGCGCCCGCAACCAAGGTACATGCCCTTGACGGGAATCGAATCCGGGACCTTTCAGTCCGCAAGCCGACGCTCTATCCACTGAGCCAAACCGGTCCCGGCGGTTTTATGCATTTTAGCACACCATCTAGCACACACGGGATGGCCATCAATGCTCAGTGAGTGTCATTGCTATCACAAGTAATATTAGCCCACCAGGGATTTCTACTAGGGAGGGAGTGTGAATGTCAGTGATGATAATACTTTCTGCAGAAGGTGGGAGGCGGAGGAGCAGGCTGGATATATTTTGTGTCCTGGCCCGTTTTTGTTCAGCTCTGCCACTGAGAAAACAGCAGGCGTGGGAAGTCGCAGGTAGAAACAGGCACATGCAGGCCGTCACTGAAGAGAAGAGACAGAGGCTGCCCGCCCTGCGAGCCAGACACAGAAAACCGCTGACGTGGGCCCTAGGGGAGGTAAACGCCGCCTGCCTCCCTCCCCACCATCAATGCTGGTTCAATGTCACTGCTCTGGACATGCCGTCCTCATGGGCAGACCAGAACACAATTCTGGGCATGGAAGGACATGACTTTTTGCCATTGTCCATGAGACGTCAGCTCTCCCTAACCAAAGGTCACTTACCACAAGCCTGCATGGGTCAAATACTACTGACTTGGCCTGACTTCTCCCACCCACGTCTTCAACTCACTTTCCTGTCCCACGTGGAACTTGATAAAAGACACAGGGAGCCAGTTAATAAATACACTTAACGGGATGTTTCCAAGAAAAAAAATTCAAAGAAGTGGAGAACACCTCTGAGCTGCTGTCGTTTAAATCCCCCCTTGAGTCTGCTACCTCTGGCCACAGTTCTGAGCACCTGGACATGAACTGCTGCTGACAACTGTGGCTCATCCTATATAATAAAAGGCAACTATGCAAATCGACCAAATGGCAAGTGACCAGTTGCTATTGTATGATGCTCACTGACCATCAGGGGGCAGGTGCTCAACACAGGAGCTACCCCCTGGTGGTCAGTGGGCTCACAGCTGGCAAGTGCAGAGCTGGTGGTGGGAGCCTCTCCCACCTCCTCAGCAGTGCTAAGGATGTCTAACTGCCAGACAGTGAGAGGGCGCAGGCCAAGCTGAGGGATCCCCCTTCCCCTCTGCACGAATTTCGTGCACTGGGCCTCTAGTGTTAGCATAAACAAGGCATTACTCACTGTAGTTTTACTTTTAAGAGAATTTACATGTTAAAGGGGCTAGAAAAAATGTTTCCAGGCATTTCCCCTTCTGACAATAATTCAGGAGAAGAAGTGGGAAATCAACCAAGCCTCTCAGGTTCAACTCAACTCACTTTCAGAGAACTGAACCTGGGAGGACAGAGCTGGCTACCTCGTGGGCCTTGTGGTCACTGGTGTGACTGATGTGGGGTACC